TCCAGGTGCTTTTTCGCATGTTTGAGGCGCGCCGCAATGTGCGCCTCTGTAAGCATTGGGGTCGTGTTGCGCTTGACGTACTCAAACCGCACGATCTCCTTAAGCATTTGTCGGACCCAGCGCGCAGACCAAGGCAAATTGAGGTCACGAACAATGGTAGTGGACGTGGAATCTGGCTTGGATGCAGTACGGTAGATGTGACGAACGTCCGTAGGAGACAGCTTAGACGGCCGGTGGCGCCCAAAGCGCTTTCCATAGTTGGTTGGGTCCTTAAGGAAGTTGGAAATTGCAGTGCGAGAAACGCCCAGGCTCTTGGACATGAATTGCACAGTTTCTTGGTTTTGCTTCCACACCACGATTTGTCCCTTCTGGAACTCGTTCAGTTGCGGTCCTCGGCCCATTCTGCGTGCGTGAGGGTCGTGAAGAAGAGGAATACTACCGATGCCTGAGTTCCTGGGTCGATTGGTGTAGTACTTTGCACTTTAGAGGACGATGAGTGGAATGTCTTATTTTTTCTTCCCACACCGAAAAGGCTAGCCAGTGGCTATACCGGTGTAAAGGATAAGACAGCTCCTATCGGGAGTTCCACCTAGTAGAGCTAGTTGTTGGCAATATGGATCTATTTTAGTGGTAATACGTTCGGCAATACATAGGAAATGTCCAAATTACCGAATGTCTTAACATTTATTCCCGCACTGTAGTACTCATCCACTGGGACAAACCGGATCTAAACTACCGGTACTCTTCTCATTAAAGTACGGTAGCGTTTGTAAGGGTCAAAAAGTGTCTTTTGCTTTTTTAAAAGCAAAAGACACTTTTTGACAAATTTCAAATGACGTCGTTTTAAAAATGAAATCTGATTTGCCTGATGGTGATCGCTCGACAAATGGTCCAGATTGCCATATTTACACTTTTCAAATGCCCTTGGATATTTTGGATCCGAAATCGACGAATTTAATGTGTTGTGATCGAAAAAGTCGGACATCTCATCCGACTCAATTTTCATTGGCTTAAATTTGACCTAATTATCTTGCCTTTACTTTTTGCTGCATCATTTAGTCTGTCAATTCCGACGTCATTGTGCTCCTACATCCACAACTTTGAGAAATACTATAAGGGGAGCTTATATGTATATGGGTGCCGTGCAATCCATTAAGTAGGGTGTATATGCGGGAATGCCATAAAAACCCGGACTACAGCAACTTATGTCTCCCGTCTACGTTTTCTAGCCAGGCGTACAAATGTGACCATCTTCATTTGGGACATACGAAGCTGACGTCCAAGTTCAGTGAAACCCCTGGATGATGGCAAATTGGCCATTATAGTGCCAAATGCAATGCATCTATAGCCGTGACCGAGGTGTAGGGACGACCCAAACCAGTGCCAATCGTGCTGTTATAAACGTTTTGGGGCTCCTGCACCGCGAACTTCCACTCACACAAGATATTGCCTTGATTCTTGGTGAAGTCCCGCAACTTGATCTTGTTTTTGTAACAGCCAGCTAGCAACGACAGTGCAGTACAGTACCTTAGAGCCTGCTCCACACCTCCAGTAGTACTAACCAACCACTACTACCAAGGCCACACCCACCACCACAGCAATCACTACTGCTCATCCTATGACCACCACAAGCCAGATCTACCACTACTAACTACCACAGCCAGGTGGTGTGGAGCATCCGTCAGGAGGATCCTCCCTCTGGCGTATGCTCCACACACCTCCAGTAGCACCAGGCTCTAAGGTATTGTTCTGTCGTTGCTAGCTGGCGGGTTGCAGGCAAAACTTCATTATGTTGTTCATCTGCCATCGTCAAAGCACTTATAACCAATCAATGCATACACAAAGCACTTATAACCAATCAATGCATACAGGACATTCGGTCCGACTTTCTTCTGTCAATTTCTCACGTCTGGTTTTGACTTCGCTTTTGTATATAGAATATATTACAACGAACAAGAAAGTCGGACAAACCGTCCGACGATCACTTGGTTTCTGTATTTCCTGTCCGACTTTTTTCCACTAATGATGTATTTTCAGAAATCAAGACCAAAGTGTCAAAGTTATCATGTGTGAAGGAAAAGGGCAAAAGGGCTGATTCTCATCTTCTAGCAAAATACCGGACTCCGTTGTACTAGTACAGTAGATAGGAGAGTTTTGAAAACGCATAATAAAAATAGAAAATGTCTGAAAATTATGCCAGGCTCAACTACGACGACAATAAGTAGCGACGACAACTACATATCTTGCTCCAACCGACAATTAACACCGGCGGCAGAGCAACGGGCTCACCTAGTTGATAGTAAAGTTAAGATATTCCCAAGTGGGATAAACTGGGACAATGGATTCATTTCGATTCAATTTTGGATACACAACACACAGTCCACAAGGGTTTTGTAAATTGGCAATCGTTTGC